GAGGAGTAAAAAATGGGAATGGAGAGAGAGAGAGAGAGAGAGAGAGAGAGAGAGAGAGAGAGAGCGAAAGAGATGGGACTGAGATAAGAAAATAAGTACAGTATAACAGAACAGTGAATGAAGGTCGATTTTAAATAATGTAAACAAACTGTAAAGCAATTGGAGCTAACAGACTTATGAGAAGATAATTGATAGAAGATCAAGGGTAAAGCTTTGGTTCAAACAAAACTACTGTTCACAAATAAGAACTTCAATAAAGCCCTGTACTTAACTTTTATCGAAAATGACCAAGCCAGACAACAGAGAGACGCTACACACAAGTAGACAGTGCGTAAGGCCCAAGCAACAGTCTGCTCTCAAATTACAAGCGTTGGATGTCAAAATCGGTGACACGTTTGGAGTAACCTTAAAAACAATTAATTTGTCATAGTGGTTGAGTATCAGTAACAGACAACAACGTAATTAAGTATGTTATACGAAAAGAGGGGAAGTCAGTAGTTTTACATTATTTCAAATTAAAACAGGGAGAGCTCATATCATACCAGATAATCCAGAATGCAATGATGTTCAAACAGAGCGTTCTATTCTTAAACATCATAAGCAGGTTGCTTGACTTGGCCTTTTCGACAGCTTTCGACTCGTTGAGGATTGGGGCTGACGCCTCGTGGTCTGCCAGCGAATCGGCACCACTCATGGAGGACACAACACACAGTCTGTTGGGAAACGTTCCTTCCTTGTCGCTCTGTGGGTCCCGCTGTAAGAGAGACTCGCAGAGTCCTTTGTTTCCTGGGTGCAGCTCCTCTCTCTCTTGGTTACCTCCAATATGAGTGATGAAGTGGGATGGCTCCAGAATGTTCTGTATGACCAAACTATCTGATACCCCTTTTGTGGTGAAATGTGTGGTTTTGCTTTCACAATGCTTTTGGGTATCTTTGAGAGGGGTGAGACACCCGTCTTCATTCAGTCCTCGTATCTGAACATTGTCATTGTCACAGCCATTGATGAAAGAGTACGGTGGTGGTGATTTTTGTGGAGAATCAACGTACACGTGAGGCGCTGTAATCAGCTCACGATCGTTTGTGACATCTTTTTCGTTGAAATGGTTATATTGCCTATCCTCATGATGTGGTGCCCGTACATCAGTCTCGTCTTCACAAAGCGATTCACCAGTTATCTGTGGAGGAGGAGAAAGGGTTGCGGAAGGGTCGGATAAGTCGAGGGTTCGGGAAGGTTGGGGGAGGGGAGCAGGGTGGAGAAAACTGGAATTCGGCTAGTTCTGTTAGCCGTGACAGAGGTTAAATTTATTGGGGGGGGGGGGGGGGGGGGTGCGATTTCTAGATTTCGCCGAAACGAATTATCCTACTAGAAACCTACTAAGGTCTAGAACCCCGAACGTGTCCGCGTATTTGTGACGTTCTTATAAGTGACGAGCAACATGGTCACTGATTTTGCTTCAGCTCAAAGTTAACTCGGCTTTTCAAACAGGTGTGTTCTTCTCTACAAAGTTATGATACTAAAAACACAAACAATATAATAAGTATCGATTTCCAATCTTTCTAGGTAAAAGATCAGAGGACCAACGCTGTGTCCTTGAGAAAGGCACGTAACACGAATTTTATTCACTTAACCAGGTGAGAATGAGTACTTGGCTATAGACAGCGGAAGATTTTGTCAGTTTATGAATGTTTGAGAATGTAATTGACCACTTGCACTGTATATTACCAGGGAAGCCAGGAATGCTTCTTGGTGTTTTAGCGTCTGCAGAGGTAATAATAATCATCATCATCCAGTGCCAGATTTGCGACAGACATCGGCGATCATGATTTTCCATTCATTCCTTTGCTCGGATGCTCTCAGAAAAGCTACGTTTCCCTGATCTTTACCTGCTACCCATTTGTTTAGGTTCCCTAAGTATGTTGTTCTGGGCCTACCCCTGCCTCGCTTGCCCTCAATTTTGCCAGTGAGAGCAAGATGTTCAAGACCCTTATGTCTATTCAGGTGTCCCAAAAACTGCATTTGTTGTTTCCTGATTGTTTATAAAATTGAGCGTCCCACCTGGGCTTCATCAAGCACTACCTCATTTGATTTCTTTACCTTCCAAGATACTCATAGCGGTCTCCTATGAAACCACATTTCTGTTGCTTCTATTTTATTTTCACTGTCTTTAGTGATTGTCCAGCATTCACAGCCATATAGAAGGGTTGACCAAACATAGCATTTCAGGACTTTCATTTTGGTGTTCATTGATATGTTTCTATTTTTCGGGATTGGGCTCATTTTATTGAAACTAGCCTTAGCCATTGCAGTTCTCCTTTATATTTCTGCGGAAGATTTGGCATTAGATGTTATCATATATCCTAGATATTTAAACTGTTGGACTTGTTTAATCTTTTCACCTCTGCTAATGAGATTACAACTAGGATTTGCTGCTTTTTTGGATATTACCATGCATTCTGTTTTCTTTACACTCAACAATAATCCTTTACATTCGCTTTCTTTTACAACAGTATCTAGAAGCATTTGAAGGTCCTTTTCGGAGCCTGCTATTAAAACCGTGTCATTTGCATACCTGGTGCTATTAATATTTTCTCAATTAACTTTGAGGCCTGGACATTCTTCTATGTTTCTAAGGATCGTTTCACTGTACATGTTAAAGAGGTCTGGTGACATAAGACATCCTTGCCTCACTCCTCGCCTAATCTGCTTATATTCACTGTATTCTCCATTAATTTGTACAGCAGCGTTTTGGTCCCAGTACAAATTTCTGATAATTCTTAGATCTTTTCCATCTATGTCTAGCTTTTCCAGTATTTTAAATAGCTCATCATGTCTAACTATATCGAACGCCTTTGAATAATCTATGAAGCATAAATACAGATCTTTCTGTGCTTCAATACATCTTTCCATTAACATTTGTAAGGTGAATATAGCATTTCTGGTGCCCTTGTCAGGAACAAAGCCGAATTACGTTTTAGATATCTCTGTTCTTTCACTTCCTCTCAATCTTCCCATTATTACTCGCAGCAATATTTGTGTAAAATGACTCATAAGGCTAATTGTTCTATGCATATCACACTCATTGGCACCTGGTGTTTTAGGTAAAGCTATAAAAACGGACTTCATCATATCTTCTGGGATCTCACCGCTGTCATAAATAGCATTTAGAAACTTTGTTGTTATTTCAGTGCCTAGTTCTTCGAGTGCGACAATCACTTCAACTGGAATATTATCTGGCCCTGTGGCTTTTCCTTGTTTCATTTTCCTAATGGCAGCTTGTACTTCTGCTTTCAGTATTGGAGGTCCATTTATTTCATTCTTTATTACCGGTTTTTCTCCTCTATTATCTTTGAAAAGTTATTCTATGTATTCTGACCATCTGTTTAAGACATCCCCGTTGTCCATTAAAATATCCCCTCCCTTTGATCTTAATATGCATCCTGTATTTGAGCATCCTTTTATCCCACTTACTTCTTTGATTTTGGAATGCATGCATTTGCCGTCTTTGTTTTCGTTCTTCTCTATTTGTTGACATTGATCGTTTATCCATGTTTCTTTTGCTTCGTTGCATTTTTTCTTTATTTTCCTGTTTAAGATGTACTTTTCTACATTTGATTTTGCCTTTCTTCTCTCTTCCATTAGGTTTAATATGTCCTGGGTCATCCATTTTTTATTTGCTTTTTTAGCTTTCGGGGGGATATTTTCTTCCACAGCTTCCATTATTGAGTCATTTTCCTCCATAGTTCTTCCGATTTAGTAATGTTTTCCAAAGCTTGAAATTTATTTCTTACATCTATGGAGAAATGTGATTTCATTTTTTGATTTGTCTTTAAAAGACCTATGTCAAATTTATGTTCATACTTTGACTTTTTGAGTTTCTTTAGTCGTATCCGGATTTTACACACGACTGGTACATGATCACTATCTCAGTCTGCTCCTGGCATTGATTTAGATGATTTTATTGTGTTTCTAAAACGTTTCTGAAAAAGTATGAAGTATATTTGATTTCTACTTCTATCGCCAGGACTCTTCCAAGTGTATCTTTTTCTTGGGTGATTTTCATACCAGGTGTTTGATATCATAAAATTATTTTCTCTACACCATTCTACCAGTCGTTCCCCGCGTTCATTCTCTCTACCCAGTCCCCCTGGCCCAACTATATCTTCTATACGTGTACTTCCTACTTTGGCATTAAAGTCTCCCACGACTATCTTTACATCTTGTGATTTTAACTGTTTCATTGCCTTATCAAGGTCTTCATAAAAAGTCTCAATTTCCTCGTTGTCGTGCTCTGATGTTGGTGCGTATATTTGGATGACACCTATGTCAAAAGGTTTTCCCTCTAATTTAGCCACGATGACTCTATCTGGCACTCCCAAAAAACCTTTGATGCTCTTTGTTGTTGCTTCGTCAAATAACATTCCGATTCCTCTTTCATGGGGTTTTCCTCCTGAATATATAATGGTTTTGGATCCTCTTTTAATCAAGCCTGCCCCCTCACATCTAGCTTCTGAAAGGCCTAACATATTTAGCTTCATCCTATCCATTTCCTGTTCTAATTTGCCTTTCTGGTACATTGTTCTTACCTTCCATTTGGCGATGTTTCGTTGCTTATTTTTGCAGCCAGTAGCTGGATGACGATCGGGCGCCACCTGCTGCCCGTGGCGGTCCCTACCGAGCAGGGAGTTCAGAGCTGGATCATGAACCCCCTTAACGCTGTTATCTGATAAATGAATGTACTTTTCCATTACTGTTCTTGGGATATTACAGCAGTGGTTTCCCGTTGCCTATTGTCGGTTTGTGTACAGTTTCTCTGCTAGCCTTTGTCATCCACTGACAACCCACAAGGCAGTAGGGGCTTTGGTAGGATTTATGGCGCCTCCCGTCGCCAAGATGATCCCTTCTTCGAGTGTGTGAAGCACCTATGCCACCAGGGTTCCCCTCTACTCTGTAGGTAATAATACAGATTGTAAAACACAAAGCTTGTTGTTAAGTGGGTGTATGAGCAATACAAATGCTATTAATTATTCATTGATATCTTACGCTAATGGACAAACTCACCTTAGCGTCATAAAATTCTATGCTCTCCTCAAACAGCTTGATCACAGACTCCTCGTCCTCGTTGTTCCAGCGACAAGCACGACGAAGCAACCTCTTGGCCTGCTGGGCCTTTCCGTTGGCCACAAGCCACACTAGCGTCTCGTCCACCAGTCTACAACAATGACAAAGGTATAGGTATTAAAACTTGTTATAAAATGTAGGTGTTTTGACTCCCCCATCGAAACAGTATAGATAATTTAGGAGACAGGTTTACGACCTTGCCTGTCAGGGCCAACCTTGGCTGAGAAGTATACAATATTCCGATAGAAAGACCGAGATTCTCGATATCCCATTCCGGAATCGAACTCGGGTCCCCTTGGCAAAGCGTCTAACCGCTACACCACAGACTCCTGTGTGGCTAAACTAAACAAAAAATTATAAAGGTGCTTACGATAGTCATTAATATCGCTTCCCCCTGGAATCAAATGGAAGCACTTAAAAATGATGTACATTTCGAAAAGTAGCTTAGACTCCAGTAGGGTACTCACAGGTACATAGGAACGATGAACACTGATCCCGAGCATATCACCAGCAAGAAGACTGTCCATGTCACATGACGTAGGAAGTAGGCGAAAGGCACGAGCAGCACAGTGGAGAAGGAGAAACTGACGATGCCCAGCCAGAACACGTGACGTCGCCAAGACAGAGGCAGGATCTCAATGATCATGGTTGAGGACACCAGCACACAGCCCTGGTCATGGTAGAAAAAAACTTAAAAGGTGAACAAGAGAACTACTGTGAAGTGTGGAATGAGTGCGACGGTGATTGTTAAATTGAACGATTAATTTATTATTTTAATTGGTTATTGTAACAATCATTATTATTATTGCTACTCTTACAGATCATCATCACCATTAATTGTATCATTTATTTCATTATAAATAGTATTATTATTA